TAAGCTAATTTAGCACTGAAATTATATATGTATAGTTGTATATATAATAATATATATATACATGTGTATAGGTATGTGTACAATAATAAGTAGTATACATATATCGCCTTCTCTCAAGAAAGGGGGAGGAAGTAAGACTGAGGAGAGAAGGAGAAAAGAGAAGGAACCTTAGAAATTAGAGATCAATTCTACTTCAATTTTTAAACCAAAACAACCTTCATTTATATATAAAGACTTGCAACAAGAACAGATTAATGCTCATTTTACAATTTCAAAGTCAAAGCATTTTCTATTTGCTTAAATGTACATAAACCTCATCTGTATACATCTCCTGTTCAACTTTCATTCTTTAATACATATGGGTATCACAGTTTTTGAGAAAAACCCCAATTAAGTAACAACAAAATGTCTGAGATCAGAAACACAAGTTCCCTTTACTTTTCTGTTAGCCTTAAGCTTTCTATTCTCCATAAAGAGTCTTGGCCCAGGCCTGGCAGCTCACATCTGTACTCCCAGAAGTAGGGAGTTCGGAGCAGAGGACTGCTATGAGTTTGAGGCTAGCATGGGCTAAAGAGCAAGACCCTGACCTTAAGACATTAAAGCTGTAACATTTTCTTCTAACTGCTGTTCACTTTTCAGCTTAATATCCTTCCTAGGTTCTCTTCAGTGAAGACTGTACTTTCCAGGAACCCTCTAAATCAATTACTACAGATCATTCAAACCTTGTCCAAGCTCCTGGAATGTGAGCAGCCACTCTTCTGAAAGCTGTCACTCAGCACCACCACCTAGAACTGTGAGGGCTCTGCTGCCTATCTCCACACTCTCCATAGGATACACATATAATTTAGATTCTGAACTCAAGGAGGGCTTTATATTAAGCAATTAATTCAGTTTTATTCAACATATTTTATGTAATCAAGCTTGACTTTCTCAGAAGTAATTGGTATCAGCTTAAGTTTTTTTCCCCTTCTGTTCCAGTTATTTCTACCACTTTTCTAAAATTGGAACTTCTGGTCTATCCTTAAACTGGAAATTCTTTAGTACTGCTGAGTGTTCCATACAGATCATGGGGAAAGATTCATCCATTAAATATAAAATAAAGAGTAAGAAGAAGATTATACCTACCATAACATCTAGAACAGCAAGTGCACAACAAAGACTCTTGGCCGTAGTCAGCTGACAGTTCAAATAAGAATGATATCACCTGTCAGTCAGTATGTCAGGAGGAATTTTTACTGCTACTGAATGCTCTAGCAGGGAATGACCAAAAAATAATCACCTGCAAGTCTTCAAGGAAGTGTAAGATCATAGACAAACAAATGTTCTAAATTACATTCTAAGGCTTCATCTAGGGCAGCGTTCATCAAATGAAACACTGGGGCCAATGCTGAAATCCAGATTAGCAAGTGAGGAAAGGAAAGAAAGGCAGGAGGCAGAAGGTAGGAAAGCCAGGAAAGAGGGAAAGTGCATGGTAGACATCATGTCCAAGTGCATCACAAACCTAAGGGCATCAGCTTCTGAACTTTATTTCTCTTTCCAGATATATCTAGAAGGCAGTGTATCTTTATTTTAAGGGTCGATGTGACTTAGAGTTGGAAAGCACCGATCGAGGAGGCAGACAGGAAAGGACAGAACAGTGGTGCTGTGACTGCTGCCCAACTGGTTTGGAAAATAAGCAAGACTAAGTTCTAATGACCAGAAGACACAGATATTGGGAAGGTCCGCATTGTGGCAAGACAGGCACCCTGGCATGAGAAACTGAGCAGGACTTTCTCCCTGACAGAAGGCCTAGGGTGACAGCCAGCTAAGCTCCAGGATTCTAGCACTCAAGTTCTTAGTCCTTTAAGCTTCCAGAGACAGCAGATGTCAACCGGCACTTTCGCTTCTCTCCTGCAAATCAAGCTATTCAGACAGAAGAACAGTGGAAAGGTAATTACTGGTCCCAGGACAACTACCTCAGAAAACACTAACTGTAAGCTGTTGTATAATCTAAATTCAGTGTAAACTTTTACATAATTTAAAACAAGACTTTGGCATCAAGAAAAATAACCTGCAGGCATAACAGTCACATATCACACAGTTCACACACACACACACACACACACACACACACACACACACACACAAAAGGTTATATAAACACCATAGAATGAGCATATCAACACCAAATATAAAAAGCATATAAACACCAAATAATGATTTTTAAATCTACATGAAATGTTTCAAAGGTCCATATTGTTAACAGCCAAGAGTAACTGAAAAACAAACAAACAAACAAACAAAAAAACCAAGCAAGCAAACAAACAAAACAGTGTTAGAATTCCTTAAATACTGGCTCAACCTTTCCTTAACAGGCCTATGTCAAGTTACTCAGAATATTCACTTGTTTAAATAGAAATGTCTAGTTTTATTTATTCACTCCTTTATTTATGTAAATGTGTGTGTGTGTGTGTGTGTGTGTGTGTGTGTGCGTGTGTGCACAGGATCTGTATGTGGAGGCCAGGGGACAGCTTTGAGAAACTTGTTCTCTCCTTTCACCTTACATGGGTTCCGACGGCTGAACTCAAGTCACGAGGCTCTATAGAAAATACCGTTACCTCCTGAGCTATCTCAACAGCCCTTTATTTTTGAAGCCACACTTGTGTGTGCGCCCACATGCATACACGTATAGGTATAGGTGAAGGTCAAAGGTCAGAGGACAACCTTAGGTGTCCCTCCTCAAGTGCTGTCCATCTTTCCCAGACAAGAGTTTCTCACAAGAAAGTTAGGCTGGCTACTGAGTTCCCCAGGAATCTGGCTGCTGCCTTCCCAAGAGCATGCCACCACCCAGCTTTTTACAAGAGTTCTAGGGATGGAGTTCAGGACTTCAAGCACATTACTGAGACATCTCCCAAAATACATTTTTTAAAACATTCAAATTTAAAACATTCTCTCAGAGTACATCCACTAAAGGTCACAACTATAAAACAGTCTACCTAAACTCCACCGTTTCTATGTGAGTTTGTGAGTACAGAGTTTAGCTACTGCTAGAGTTGAATATAAACCCAAATTTGGTTGAGGAGAAACACACATACACACACAGCTATACAGAGAATGTTCCTAGATTCAGGGTGAAGAGTTCCTTTTAGCATTGCCAATACAGTTCAATGTTTTTGTTTTTTATCATTTGAAATTAAAGTGGCTGGAGACATCCACCTTTAGGATAATCACCTGCTGGCTTTAAAAATATGATCGCACAACGTTAAAAAAAAAAAAGAAGAAGTTTTGGCCTTTGACTTTAATTCCTACTGAACACAAACACCCAAGAAAGAAACCTTTGCAATGTACCTACCAGAAGGCCACTTTGTGCATCAGGAGGAAAGATGACCAATACTGCTTTGCAGCCTCTTTACCTCTACAGGCAAAAGAGTTTTAGCTCAAACACATTGGCATGGGTTTTACTGAAGACTCCACTCATTCATCTGGCCTGATCAGACATCCCATAAACTCAATTCTGATTACAGCGCAGAGCATACACAACTGGACGTTACTTATCACCCTAGGTTACAGATTCCTCTCACTTTCCTTTCTCCTGGGCTGTTATACCAAACCTAGAGCAGAGCTACACTCACCTCCAGGCTAGAAGAAACAACATAATAGCTTATTGATCTCTGGTGTAGACCCAAACCCACAAGTCATCAGCCAAGCAGGGACACAACTAACAACCCACAGTCATGCACTAGGTTTTCAAGTCGCACACAAACACACAGACAGTTACTGCATCAAATGTGGATGAACCCCTCCTGCCCGCCCCCCAGAATAAAATAATAAACCAGTCAGCTCAGGGAGTAGCACATCCTGAATTATTCTGAAAGGATTACTATTTCTTGGCTGTCAGGAAATGCCAATTTAAGTCCATTATATTTTTCATGTAATATGAATTCCCAGGCTTAGAAAGTTACCATCACATTTAATTCCACAGAGCTGTGCTTTCCAAAGAGATGCTACCATATGCTTGGGAATTCTATGTTGACAGAAACCGCCTATGACTTGGACTTTCGGTAAGTAAAATTTACAAAAAAAAAAAAAAAGGGTTGCTTCTGTTTTTCTAGAGAAATCAAAGCAATCCTCCAAAACAAAGTGGAAGTGGAAATATTGTGTTCTCTGCAATAGCCACTCAAGGAGTTAACTCATGAGAACTAAGAAAGGTGAAGTTAAGAGCCCAAGTTCAGGTCTCAAGGGATGAACATTCCTCCTAATTCCCTTTAGCTCTAGTTCATACAAAGCACAATCTTGACACATCATCAGCCTTCTGCTGGCCTTAAAAAAAAAAGTGTCCCTAGGCAGAATACAGACCAGATAAAAGGCAACAGTGACAACAGCAGAGGAGGGCATGGATGAAATGACAAGTGAACTGGGGAGTCAGGGCAGACTTGTACGCCCCAACAGGGGAAGACTGAGGTGGGGCTGGAAACTATTTTCTGGCCTTCTCTTGCGTGCAGCTACTGGGGAACAACAAGATCCTACACGCCCGGGACCACGGAGCCCGGGAAGCAAGCGAGGTGCTTTCGCAGGCAGCCGGGACCCAGACAGAGGGGCGCGACGGCAATTCCACCCAGAAGAGAACTTCCTGCCTCGGGAAGGATCCGGGGCTGCGGCGGCAGGACCGTCCCGGAGGCGACCTCCCCTCGCAGTCTCACGGTCACATCTTCCTGCGAGGGGACCACGCACCGGCGACCCGGCGGCGAGCGCCGGGGCGGCGAGGCAGCGGGGCCTCGCGCCGCTGGGAGGTCAGCCCGCACGCCCGCCGCCGCTCCGCAGGGACCCCCGGCTCGGGGGGGGGGGAACCCCAGCATCCCCGCGAAAAGACAGCCCTCCCCGCACGCCCCGCGTGGGTCTTTGTCCCGCCGGCAGCGGGGGTCTCCCCGTGGCCCAAGCCAAGCCCGTCCTGGAGGCCTGGCGGCCCCCGGGGTCGCCCCAGCTTTGTTCGGTCAGCGGGGAGCGGGGAGGCGGACACTCACCGTACACCCCAGCGAGGAAGAGGAAGAGCCACGCCGACCCCCGCCGCGGAGACTCTCTTGTGCTCCTGCGACGGGCCATACCCACGGCCGATGGAGGGAGCGAGGAGATGGAGGAGGAGGAGGAGGAGGAGGACGAGGAGGAGGAGGAGCTGGGGCCAGACGCCGCCGCCGCCGAGCCCCCGGCTGCTCCCTGCGCGCTCCGCGGCGGCGGAGGGGGAGGGGCGGGGCCGCCCGCGCGCGCGCCCT